ACTCATCCGCTCGGTTAATCATCTATCTAGTCATTCACTTATTCATTCACTTTTCCAATCATCAACTCGCCCATCAATTCATCAACTCACTCAGTTGAATCGAATGCCAATTCGAGCCATTAATCATAGCGGAATACTCTCTCCCCTCTCCGTCCCCCTTCCTTCCTCTGTGCCCTCCCTCCGCATTTCATGTCTAATGTTTCAAACGCTTCGACTATCCAATTTTAGTGTTTCTCCATCGAAACAATAAATAATTGAAAAGGTAAACTGTTATTATGTCTTAAGAGAAGAATAATTTATGAATTAGGCTATACATTTCTAATACAGTACACGAGAGTGATACAGTTCAGATCATCAAAATGAGGTAGAAAACAATTAAAAATGACAGTAAATACAAGTAAAATCAAACTTTAAAGTGTTTTTTAAGCATTGCAACCAATTCTGCTTTCTTTGTACCTTGTTTCACTGTACATGCAAGGTGTTCCCCGATAGCAGCGCGTAGTTGGGCAACGGTTAGGGTGTCTAGCTGAAAACAAGGAAAGACAGAAGGTTCAAGAACAAAACTAAACTCATCTATTACGTACTAAGCCCTTCTTTGCCATCTCATGAGTGTCCATTTCGGCCACATCAGCTTTTGCCTTCTTACTGCGAACGCCATTGTGTGAGGAGTCTGAAAATGTTCTGCTTTCAAGGAAAAGCTGAGGTCGCTTTTGGAGACAATTCTGAAGGCAGTTGGTCAAAACTCTTACCATCTGCTCTTTTTCTGCCTGTGGACGTGGTCATGCTCTCCAATTCGTTCAAATGGAAATGTTTTATAAGAGACTCTGACTCTTTCTTAACTCTAGCAGCCCATTCAGGTCGAGCATGGTAGGGTACTGCAATCGCGAAAATTAAGGGATACACTTTGAAAGAATTAAAAGATGATAACACACATAACGTGTCTGTTGGCTTCACAATCTGCTCTCCAACAACATTCTCGATAATCATTGCATAGAAAGATTGCAGCCCTAAATTTCTAGTTATTTTATCTTGAAATGAATATCTGCGCTGCAACAACAAAAGAAATTCAGTCAAACCTTGATGTTTCTTCAGAAACAAATCTTCGCCTTTTTTTAATCTTCGCATTTTCCCGCTTACACATGGTCTGCCGTATAGTCAACTGTCTCCAGTATTAAAGGCGTGACGTTCGTCTATCATAAGCTCTTTCAAGACAGCTCTATTTCTGTCCATCCACCTCATCTTTGGCCTTCCCCGTGGTCTTTTTCCAGCGACTTCCAAGACATTGCCACTCTTTTGATGTGGGTCTCATCTCTTCTGCTCACATGCCTGTACCATCGCAGTCGTTTTCCCTGCATATTTTTAACGATGGGACACTTTCATCCCAGCTTGAACTGTGTCATTACAGACATGATCTAGCAGGGTGATACCCAATGCCCACCGCAGCATTCTTGTCTCCACGGCACTAAGCTTGTGATCTTCACTTCCCGTACTGGAACAACGTTTACTGCCTTACAGAGCTGTGGGGCGGATCACGGTACGGTATATCTGGGATTTGAGTTGCACCAACATTCGTTTGTCGCTAAACTCCTATTTCCATTTCGTCCAGGATGAATTTGTCCAGGCTATATTTCACCTTGAAGTCCCCTTTCGCCAGAGAGCGACTTCCTAGTACTTGAAGGTGCCCGTTCTTGATTGGTTCTCATCGATTTATATGGTTTCTGAAGTTTGACCTCCCACTTCCATATATTCTGTCTTCTTCGTGTTAAGCTTAAGCCGTAGGAACCTGATTGGTCCCTCTATCTCTATACCTCTTCCTCAAATTCTTTTCTATTTCTGCCATCAACATCACATCGTCTGGTGTATCATTTATAAGCCGCATGTAGCTCTCTTCGTT